GAAAATTAGCCATAATGTGTTTTTTGGAGCAAAAATTAATGTAAGACCCTGTCTTATTTTCGGGAAAACATGGTAGTACTACTAGATTTTGGACAGTGTTTTAAGGTAGCAAATTGTGTAGAATATTCAAAGCAAAGTGTGTTGCTTATTTATCACTTATACTGTATACCACCCCATAGTGCTTAAAGCACTTTTTGAGCAGTTTAACTTTTAATTATGCAGGCTACATACCCCCCCCCAAAAAAAAAACTGGATACTCAATTTACCAACCTCAGAAAGATGGAAGGTTGAGTCAGCCCTGAGCCCAGGATCGAACTCAGGTTATGACAGAAGAAAGTGTGTTGCTTATTTATCACTTATACTGTATACCACCCCATAGTGCTTAAAGCACTTTTTGAGCAGTTTAACTTTTAATTATGCAGGCTACATACCCCCCCCCAAAAAAAAAACTGGATACTCAATTTACCAACCTCAGAAAGATGGAAGGTTGAGTCAGCCCTGAGCCCAGGATCGAACTCAGGTTGTGACAGAATCTTCACTGCAGTGCTGCAGTTTTTGTACTGCACCATGAGGCTTCTGAATGTCCAAAAAGAAGTCCCAGTGCATGGTCAGTACATTCTCCGTCCAAAGAAGTGTCATAAAGTCAGAGACCCTGTGTGGGAGAGAGGGATTGGGGGGGTGGTCTCTTTCAACAGCTGGAAGGGGTCTGAGAACATTCTGAAATTGCCTGTTTCTCACTCATCCTCTGATTATTTACTAGTACCAACCATATTTTTTGTATGTAAGACATCTTATTACAATTACTTTTTCTTTCTGAGTAGAGAGTGACTAGAGGAGCTGTTTTGGTTTATGGTTGAGCATGGTTTTTTTAAAATACATTATGTGTAATCCTTCCAGCAAAACAACTTTCCCCAACTAGGTGCTCTCCAGATGTTTTGGGGAAAACCTCCTATAATTCCATTTATATTGTGAGACATGGTCCAACACATCTGAAGGACATCTAGTTAGGGAAGGCTGCACAAATATGTAAGGACCTTGTGGTTCACAGGCCTGGAGTTGGGTGGGAAAGAAACATTTTTCAGGTTTGTTTCAAAAATGAAAGAAAAAAATGCAACCAGGGCAAGAGCAGTGTGGGGAAATGTAGGAGCTGTTCCACATGAGAGCATGGGGCCACACTGAAATAATGTGTGACATAAATGTTAAAATTTAAGTGCAATACACATATTTTGAAATTCAAAGCTGTGAATGGTTTTTTAAAAAAACCCTCATTCCTTCCAAATCTTCCTCCCTCCCTCTTTTGTTCTCCTTTCTGTGACAGAAACCTGGCAGTGACCAGCTTGTGTTAACATATTTTATTTCCTCCCTTGGAGTGAGTTTATTCCTTTTGTTCATATAGTAGCTAAACAGACCATAAGCTCCCCAGAGCTTTCTTTCCTTTTGTAATGTAAGTTCCTGGCTTGAAAGAAAGTTTTATATGGTAGCAGCGGAACTCTCTTCTTGCTCCCCCAAAAAAGTCCCGGACTGTATGACTGATGCAGGCTATCAGGCTTTTCACGGACACCTGCTTTTTAGGGAATAAAGTAGGTGCTTCTGCTTCCGGCTTGTGACAGCATGTATTTGCATTGAGAGAGCATATTTTCATAGAAGTATGTGCCAGTTGAAAAGCAAGGACTGCTTGCCCAACCACTGGACTGCAATAGCCCTTCTAGCCCACATAGGTAGTTCATGTAATCAGCAGCTCTCCTGGCTACTAGGGACCAGTGATGGACAAAAGGGTTGCTTCTAAGCAACTGGAAACAGAAGTCAGTTTTCTGGTTTTCCGTTGAATTTACCTGCCTTTTCTGCCCAGTGCTCTGTGTTTGTTTTGTTAGTTTGAGAAGAGTTTGTAGCCTCCCATCTGTTTGATTATGCAGGTGCTGTTCACCGTGTGGGTTCTTTTTAGTTAGCTAGCAAAAGAAAAGAAGTTCAGAACTTTCTCACCATTGCTTTATTCAGTATCATTCCAGTGCTGAGCTTTAATACAGCACACCCAGAACATCCCCAGGGACCGGTAACCAGTTCTGAGAGCTCTGTATCTAGAAACGCCTGGAAAGGGTTGCCATAAGTCAGAATCAGCTTGAGAGAACCTAAAAATATATTAGGAGTTATTGTTTGCAAGCTGTTTGCCACTTCAGTTTTGATATAGGAAGAGAGTACAATTGCTAACGATTCTTTTTGTCCATTTGTCTCTGCTATAGGAAGTGAGATTCTGTTATGCTTGGCAAGCATACTTGGTGTATAGGTAGATGAAACTTTTGGAAAACACTGAGGCAAGAGAGGCCACTGATACAAACTTAGAACTGTTGTCTTGCTGCTCTTTGAAATGACAAGCAGTCTTCAAACTTGTCAACTCTTGGCATGCTCTGGAAAGATGCTATGGAAGTGATTGCAAAAGTCAACCAAAATAGTTAACTAGATTATTCCAGCAGGCTGGTGAAAAGGAGTGTGTATAGTGTTTCAATTAGTTAAGTGAAATATATATATCCTAACCCAGCATTCCTTGAAGCTATATGTATCACAAGATGTTTTGTCTTTACAAGCCTATCATTTCTAATAATTGGTTCTTTCTCCAGAAAACTGATATCCATTGTTACTTTTTTTTAAAAAAAATGACAATGCAGAAACTGAAATGTTTCAAGGCCTGTATCTATTTGTAATTCACAGAAAATGTTTTTTGCTTTCCATTTCATAGATCACTGCTGCTTTTTCTCCCTGCTTATTCACAGTACATGCTTATTCAAATCAACTGCAGTTCTCTTTTCCCGTTAAATCCTTTAGCCTGAATTACCTTCATTTGTATTTTGAAGCATTTTCTCTCATGTAAATTTGTACAGTGGGAAATATTGTCCAGTTTGATTTAGAGAGCATGGAGACTTAACATAAAAGTTTGATAGTTGAAAATTGAGATTGAAAAAATATTTGTGTAAAGTTATTTAAAGAACTCTGTATTATATAAAAGGTTAAAGTTCTATGTATTTGATGTGAATACTGCTATAATAAAGACTGATTGCATGGAGAACAGTCTGTGTGAGAGCGTGAGTCACAGATGAATTACAGCTGTTGAACAAACGACTGAAAGCAACGCTACAGAAGTCCTTTTTAAAAAGAACCATAGCAAAGCATTCCCACTACAGTATATGTCTGGTTGCCCAGTTTCTGCCTGAACTCACTATCTCTCTAGGTAACTTATTTAATTGTAAGATGCTGTCAATGAGAATTTTATTTCTGCTCACATTCATCTTTAAAGTCTTACAGTACAGTGGTGCCTCGACTTACAACCGTCCCGATATATGACCATTTCGAATTGTTACCAGCTCCAGCTGCAAAATTTTGGTTTGACTTGTGGCCAGAGCTTCAAGTTGCAAACAGAAAAGAGGCATGGAAAAAAGGCAGGGAATTCAAATTAGAGTGCTAACCTTTGGTCGGCGAAGAGCTTCTTTGTAGCTCTTTTGTCCCAACGGTTAGAGCAGTGGTCCCCAACCTTGGGCCTCCAGATGTTCTTGGACTACAACTCCCAGAAGCCTTCACCACCTCTGCTGCCAGGATTTCTGGGAGTTGAAGTCCAAGAACATCTGGAGGCCCAAGGTTGGGGACCACTGGGTTAGAGTATGTCCGTTTGCAGAGAGGCTTGGGACTGCCTGGTGCTGCTTTCTGCTTCTTGGTGACTACATTTACAGGGATTTGCAGGGTGGGTTTGGGGGGATTATGTTTCTGTGCTGTGATGTTTTTTGGTGCGTTTTTTTGTTTCTGTGCTGTGATGTTTTTGGGTGCGTTTTTTCAGCCCCATCACGTTCCAATGGGGCTGTGTGTGGGGTGTGTGTGTGTGTGTTGTGATTTTTTTTTCAGCCCCGTCGTGTTCCGATCGGGCTGGCTATATTGGGGGGGGTGTTTTGTGATTTTTTTTCAAGCCCTGTCATGTTCTAAAGGGGCTGGCTATGTGGGGGTGTGTGATATTTTTCCCAGGCCCATCATGTTCTGATGGGGCTTGCTCTGATCATTTTTTGTTTATTTTTTTCAGCCAGAACAGATTAATGGGTTTTCATTGTATTCCTATGGGAAGTGGTGCTTCAATTTACGACCATTTCAAGTTACGCCCATATTCTGGAATGGATTATGGTCGTACGTCAAGGCACCACTGTACTGTAATTCAAGCAAGCATGGTGCCTAAAACTGAATGGAATATTCTGGAGGAAGGGCTTTTCTTAAAAAGTTCTGCAGTACTATGTTCATGTATAAATTACTGTATCTTTGTTAACAGAGCACAGAATTTCTTATGGAACCCAAAATACCAAATGTTGATGGGGATAAAGGGTGGAGGAATTACTTGGCTGTGATTTTCAGATTATGTACAACCGTTAAGCTCCCTGAAAAAGTGCACTACTTGTGAAAGAACTCCTCTCTCCTTCAAAACTTTGCACTACATGCAGCATTGAGCACAGCCTTTTTATTTACAGTTGAACATATGGTGTTTATCTAGATCAGGACACCCATGTGAGGGTGCCCCTAATAATCAGGGATCTCATGAGAGAAAGATGATGCATAAGCAGGAGAACAAGTATTAAAAGTACAAGTTTCAAATGCAACACGGATCTATTCATGTTACATCCCCTACAGCAGGGGTCCCCAACCCATGGTCCATGGCCCAGTGCCAGTCCACGGCCTGGGCCACAGAGACAGATCTCCCACCCACCCCGTGCGCACTCCCCCACACACAGCCCCTTCATGCATGTGTGTGTGCACCAAAAGCCCCACCCCTTTGCACCCACACACGTGTGCACCCACCTGTGCAAGTGCCCCTCCGCCCCTTTGCACATGTGCACCCCACCTGTTCGCACATGCACACAAATGCAGGGTGCCCCACCTTCCCCGCACACAGACCCTGTCCTCCCCCAACCGATTTGTGGTATCAGAAAGGTTGGGGACCACTGCCCTACAGAGTGTTCCACTGAAGTTCCACAGAATGAGCTGTGTTTTCTAGTTTTATTTATAATTTGAATTCGAAGTCTATAGAAAGTGAAGCATTCATTTCTGTAGGTCTGCTCCCGGACATCTGCAAGCAATAAAGACATATAATAAGTTTAACTGATTTTCCTTCTGTGTATGCAAATCCAAATACTTGGAACCAAGAAAAGTCATGCAGGATGAATAAGCTCAGGGCATCCTGCTTAGTCTCCTGCAGGGCTGATTACAGCATCCTACAGCATGAAAAAAGCAACCCACCCTATCTCTAGCATCACAGTTATCTTGTAGAACAAGTCTTTTCCAAATTGATGGTCTGCTGTTGTCTGAACTACAAGTCCTATCATCCTCAGTCACTGACAGTACTGGGTGGGGCAGATGGGAGCCATCGTCTTAATACATCTGAAGGGCATGAGGTTGGAGAAAAGAGTGTAACTGAATATCTTCAGTTAAAAGTTGAACAATACCGTAAGTATACATTACACTTTAGTTTCATTTTTAAAAAATCCTGTTTACAAGCTAGAATAGACAAAGAGAAACACAAACATGGGCATATGCTGTTACATGTACTTTCGACTGAGGATTAAGTTACAGTGAATCAGAACATAAGGCATGCTACATATAGACTTGCAAGGGTTCTTCCAACCCCACCTTGAGATGCTGGGAAATGAACCTGGGATCTTTTGTATGTACACTACCACAGAGAGACACCTTCCCCTTAATTTGACACAAGTGTCAATACTTCAAGTGCACCTCATCTGTCTAAATTCAGGAAACAAACACTATCTCAACATTATGACTTCATGTTCTGAATGCTTTTATATTGTATTTTAACATTGACTTAGGGTAACTTTTTTAAAAATTTGGAACCCTTACTTTGGAACAGATCTATTCATCATCAGAAGGGATTCCTAGTTCTTCATCTGTCCACTGAGTCACATCTGGATAAGGAAAATGGCCCTGTTGGAGGTGAAGAGAAAAGTATAAGCCAGCCACAAACAGTAAAAGCAAAGCAAAGCGTGCAGCTTATATACCGCCCCATAGTGCTTCAAGCACTCTCTGGGCAGCTTACAAGTTAATTATGCAGGCTACACATTTCTGATAATAGGAAAACATGATCGGTAGTGGATGCACCAGCATGAAAGCCAATTGGTTCCATTCCAGGAGATTTTGAGATTGCACCCAAGATAGTTTGGTGAGAAGAAATTTGGAATAGAGTTTACCAATATTAGCAGGAAGACTTATGGCCTATAATTATTGAGTTCGGAGGCATCACCTTTCTTATAAATTGGAATTATAATAATTTTAGATTGTTCACGCTATTAAATAATACCAGCAAATTTCCTGAAACTTGGTTATCTTCTATTATATTATTATTATTATGACTTTAGGGAAAAGTTTCATCTTGCATAAGTTTTTATAGTTCGTAAAATTCTTCAATGCATAAATGTTATATTAAAAAAACTTGCTAGTCTTCCAAGGTATCACAAAATTCATTGTTGTTGCACCAGACAAACACAGCTACCTACCTAGAAATTTCAACATTTTAGAACAAGTTTAAAAAATCATATCTTCCAGTATTATAGACATGGCAAATTATGTGATTCTGAGATCAAGTTCCTCCTAACTCACAGACACAGGCTGGGTTTAAAATTTAGTCCCCCATGATGTAGTCTCAGTCATCTATAAGGTGTGGAGAATTCATGCAGCTTTTTGCTGCCTTCTTTTCATTTAAAAAGGCATACTCCCACTTTTACTCCACCCTGAGTAGATTCACTGAATCTAGAAGGGCGGGTAAAAGTTGGAAAATAAATAAACATAAATTAATTGATTAAATTAGGAACCCAGTATACCAGTCAATTTGAGCAGCATCAAAGTTCTAATTGGGACTTCAAGTATCTCCGCAAGAAAAAAAAAACAAAGCTCTTAAGAGTATACTAAAATCAGCATGTAAACTCCTTAGGAGTTTCATTTTTTTATTCTCTGGACTTCAGGAATGTAAAATAAATTATACTGAGTTATGCCCTGATTTTTACAATCATTCCATTGTGGATAACAACCGAATAGAGCTTTGGATTGCTTGAAGGTAACTTGCTGCTTTTTTTTTTTACCTGATCAAGGAGTCCATTTTGATTATTTTGGGCTACTGGAAGAAAAAAAAATCTAAGAACCTGACTCGGGAAGATGTTAGCCATAGTAGGGTTGACTAACATTTTGCTTAGAATTAAAGCAGGTCAATCTGGTCCTCTCCAAACATGTTAGATTCTAGTTCTCATTCTCATTAGCCAGTATGGAAATGTTAATGTTGAAGTATTCAATACAATAGCTTCAGAACCCTTAATGCTATTCCTGTCACGCCAACACTACCACCATCACCACCAGAGAACAGGATGCAACAATTTACAGTGGTGCCTCACAAGACGATGTTAATTCGTTCAGCGAAAAACACTGTCTTGCGAAAACATCGTCTTTCGAAACGCGGTTCCCCATTGGAATGCACTGAAATCTATTTAATGTGTTCCAATGGGGAAAAATCGTCGTCTTCCGAAAATCGTCCATAGAAAAATGCTGTCTTGCGAAAACATCGTCTTTCGAAACGCGGTTCCCCATTGGAATGCACTGAAATCTATTTAATGCGTTCCAATGGGGAAAAATCGCCGTCTTGCGAAAATCGTCCATAGAAAACATCATCTTGCACAGCGCAACAGCGATCGCAAAAACCAATCATCTTGCGGATTAATCGTCCCGCGAGGCAATAGTCTTACGGGGCACCACTGTATTGAGCTTGCATTTATCATTTCTTACCAAGCACAGGGGTTTGGGAATGTACAATCAGTACCTCTCTACAGGAGATGGCACCTTAATGTTACTGCTGTATACTCCTTTCCAGCCCACTTAAGTCCTCACCAGCACTTCATCATAATCATGCCAGCAGTGCCACAGGATCCAGAACCACATGAAGCCACTAACTGATTCAGACACGATGATCTGGTACCGGGTTATTTTTGGTGCCTGGCGGTAGGAAAATTCACCATGTTCACTGGAACTGCAAGGCAAAATCCATGAATAGAAATATAAACAGGCTTATGTTAAAAACTAGATAAGTTTCATTTCTTGGGAATATCTGCTTCTTTTAAAAAGTAGTATCATTTTCTGAACACATGTAACTACAAAGATATCCTTTGTATTTTATTTAAAAAAATTTTTACCCCACCTTTCTCTTCAAAATTATCCAAGGAAAACCCCTGAGACACCAGAAATATCACTGTCTGGAATTAAATGGACAATTGTTTTGAGTTTATAACGCACTTTCCCATAACATATCCTTGGAATTAAGAGCAACTGATCCCAGATCTATCCATGCCTGAATAGGTAATCCTGGGATCAACTAGAAACTTGGAAAAGAGCAGTTCAGGTGAGTGGCCTCAACCTAAGAATTAAGAAACAAGATCAATACAGTACATAGCACTCCACAGTTTTGGACCACGTTAACTTGTTGCAACCTCTGATCCCAGTGTCACCTGCCCCATCGACCAGATCTTTCCAGACCAGGCTCCTCTGTGTGGTCACCACAAGGGACACAAAAACTCTTCTACTAGAGGCAGGGCATTCTCCATGGTGGCTCCAAATTTATGGAATCAGCTCCCAGAGGAGCTACACCTTGCTCCCTGTCTTTTGTTCAGAAGAAAACTTAAAACATTTCCCTTTAGGGAGGCCTTTCATACTGATCCGAGCAGATATTTTTCTTGCCTCTGGTCCAGCCACTTTTGTAAATTGTTCTGGTGCCATCAGGTTTTTATACTGTTATTAACTGTTTAGTTTTTCTTGTACTGTGTTTTAACTTGTTAAATCACCTAGAATAGTGTTTTGCACTAATGAGGTGGTATACGGACAGTTCGATAGATAGAAGTACCAGAGCCAAGGTCACAGGTCCTTTCATTAAAAATTCATCTCTGGTTTTCTCTGGAAGGTTGGTGTGTCGTTTGTTTTTTTCACCAACAAGAGGCAACCTGCAACCCTCCACCTGTAGAGTTGCAAGCCCCATCCACTGGCTATGCTATGCTGGTCATACTCCATGAACATCCGCAGGACTATATAACTCTGGGGCGTCATTGGATTGCTCAGTGGTTTAGGTATCTGGCTGTGGAGCAAGAGGTTGGAAGTTCAATTCCCTACTGTGCCTCTTGTGATTAGAACCAAGCTGCACAGTCTCAAAGCACACCCATAAAGGAATGGTAACCCCAAACTGAATTATGCACCCAACCTACCGCTTTTAGTGACAACCCTGTTTCCCTTTCCAGATCTTACACAGACAGGCTGGGGTTGCAAAACGGAGTAAAGAAAAGAGATTTTTCTAAATCTGGCTCGATTCAGGAACATAGAGGCACATACCCGTTACTGTTCGCTTCTTAGAGTGTTACTGTTACTTATATCTTATCGTATGTCAATGCCCTCCGGCCGGCTAGGCCAGTCGTTCCTAACCTTGGGTCTCCAGATGTTCTTTAACGGCAACTCCCAGAAATCCTGACCGGCACAGCTAGTGGTGAAAGGCTTCTGAGAATTGCCGTCCAAAAAAACACCTGAAGACCCAAGGTTGGGAACCACGGGGTTAAGCACTCCTTCACCTCTCTTTACCGACCTATTCTTTTTTTTAAATTAACAACAGCCCTGTGGGGTCGGCCCCTTTTG